GTACTTGAGTACTCTCACTGTGTTGTTCAGACTCGCTGTGGAGCATTCGGAGTGGCCTGCATTCCTTGACTGTCGGTGCTACTGTGTACTTGAGTGCTTTCACCGTGTTGTTCAAACTTGTTGTGGAGCATTCGAAAGTACTGTTGTGATTTCAGTTTGAACTGCAGTACTTTCGTACGCCGAGGCTGCGGATTTTTCAACAAGCAACGGGCTGCAGACTTCAAGTGGTGTTCTTCATAAGTAGGCTATCACTGCTAAGTCTTGTTGGAGTCCCAACAGACTGTCGATGGTGATGCTGCTGACACGGCTTACCTCGAAGTAGTGTTTACTACTGTCTAGTCTTAACAAGGAGCTGTTACTTTCTCCCTCAGACACAACAACTGCGGCAATAAGGTGGAAGTTAATATCATGACTGGAGTTATGGGAATCGCAGGCTTCGCAGCGTCAACTTTGATTTTTCGGCCGCCATTGCGGGGCCCTCAAGATCTAAAGGCACCAAGGCCCTCTCGTGTGAGTTGGCCCTTTCTTGTGTCCCGAGCGTCTGACCTTTGTCCATCTATCCTTCTTTCTCTCAGTCTAATCTGTGTCTGGAGAGGAAGACGGCAGGCGGGATTGCAACCCGTAGGACCGCATCAAGGCCTTTGTGGGAGGTTGACCCATCGATTGCGGGAGCTCTGCCGGAGCCCAGGCGGGACTCTGGAGGCAGGGAATTCAGAGGTAGGTCGACATTATACCATTAGAATCCCAATAAACCCCTACCTATACAAACCTGACGTTTGGTCTATTTGATTTTGACTTATGTATATGTCTTGATCGCTTTATTAGGACTTTAACTGAGTTAAAAAGGGAATCTACTATGCATGTTAATTCATCTGTCTGTGGAAAAAATCACAATGTTTGCATGCGATGATTTGAAATGGAGCTGGAGATGAGGTCCTTCAGACTGATCCGGTCGCTTTGCTGTTTGCCTAAGACATTGAAATGGGGCTGGAGATGACGTCTTTTTGACTGATCGGATCGCTTTGCTGTCTGCCTAAGACATTGAAATGAGGCTGGAGATGAGGTCCTTTAGACTGATTCGGTCGCTTTGCTGTTTGCCTAAGACATTGAAATCGGGCTGGAGATGAGGTCCTTCAGACTGATCCGGTCGCTTTGCTGTCTGCCTAAGACGTTGAAATGGGGCTGGAGATGAGGTCCTTCTGATTGATCCGATCGCTTTGCTATTTGCCTAAGACATTGAAATAGGGCTGGAGATGAGGTCCTTCAGACTGATCCGACCGCTTTACTGTTTGCCTAAGACATTGAAATGGGGCTCGAGATGAGGTCCTCCTGACCGATCCAGTCGCTTTGCTAAGTCAATTAGTTTTGCTTGTTGACAAAGGTCTGACTCTTCTTCGTGTGAGAATAGCCCATGTTAAGTGTGTTAGTGATTGCATGGGGTTGACTGAGAACAACTTGGAAAGTTAATCAACTAAGTAAGATACAAGACTAATATTTTTTTTTTTTGTGATCAGAACAAGCGAAAGATGAACTCTTGGATGAACGAACCTTTGTTTTGAATTGACCGAATGCGATGTGGACATGACATGCTTCTTGGCAATGCTATGTCTTTTTGCTGAAGCTCTGTTTGTTTTCTGCATTATATAGGGTGGTCTGTTAGTGCTCGCCTAATGCTTGAGCAACAAGCAGGTACATGTCTGCTCTTTGTTTTCACATTGTCTTTTCTTGTATGATTATTTTTTGTAAGACTTTGACTAGCCTCTGAGTTAGTAGAAGTTTTGGGAGCCTCGTTTCCTTAGGGGAGTTGCTGTCAAAATTCCTGCTAAATACTCAAAGTTAGTCAAAGTTTCAGAGATGTCAGCTAGGATAGGATAAAGTTTAGTCTTTGGGGTCAGTAGGAATTCAGGAAGCTTTCCTTTCTAAAAGAAGTGCTGCCGAAATTTCTACTAAAACCCTAGGTTACCAGGACGGACGTCCGGGACCCCGAGAGACGTCCGAGTTGTCCGACCGGACCACAGGCCCGGTGGTCCGGTGACTCCCGAAGGTCCGACCCCTGCGAAAATTAGGGGCGGGCCTCTGAGGGGGACTTTGGGGGCCTGGTGTGTTTCGTATGGCTGGGGGGGGGTCTTGCTCGACCGAGAGCCCTGCAAAACGAGGCCCGGCGGCCTAAAAAAATTCGGAAACATAAGGCCCGACCTGGGCCGTCGGATTGATCCGATCGACGGCCCAGATCGGACCAAATTCGAATTCGAATTTGCCGATGGGCACCGACCGTCCGCATCCGCCCCAGCCCTCCCCACGCTGCCCTCATACTCCCGCCTCTGGACGACGAGCGCGTGTGTGCGCTCGCGAGGACGCGGCACCCCAGCCCCGCCATCTGGATCGCCATCGCCGGTGAGTTTCTCTCTCTCTCCATATCCTCCTCGTCGTCGTCATCCTCCTCCTCCTCCATCGGGACCTCCTCCTCCTCCACCTCCTCCTCCATTGGGACGACCTCCTCCTCCTCCTCCTCCATCGGGACCTCCTCCTCCTCCTCCATCGGGACTTCGTCGTCCACCTCCATCGGGACCCCCTCCTCCTCCACCTCCATCGGAACCTCCTCCTCCTCCTCCATTGAGACCTCCTCCTCCTCCTCCTTTGCGACCTCCTCCTCCTCCTCCATCAAGACCTCCTCCTCCTCCTCCATCGGGACCTCGTCCTCCTCCTCCATCGGGACCCCCTCCTCCTCCACCTCCATCAGGACCTCCTCCTCCTCCTCCATCGGGACCTCCTCCTTCTCCTACATTGGGACCTCCACCTCCTCCTCCACTGGGACCTCCTCCTCTTCCTCAATTGGGACCTCCTCCTCCTCCATCAAGACCTCTTCCTCCTCCTCCATCGGGACCTCGTCCTCCTCCTCCATCGGGACCCCCTCCTCCTCCACCTCCATCGGGACCTCCTCCTCCTCCTCCATCGGGACCTCCTCCTCCTCCCCCTCCTCCATGGGGACCTCGTCCTCCTCCTCCATTGGGACCTCCACCTCCTCCTCCATTGGGACCTCCTCTTCCTCCATTGGGACCTCCTCCTCCTCCATCAAGACCTCCTCCTCCTCCTCCATCGGGACCCCCTCCTCCTCCACCTCCGTCGGGACCTCCTCCTCCTCCTCCATCGGGATCTTCTCCTCCTCCTCCTCCTCCATG